CATGGGGTGAGAGCGCTCTGAGAGCGCCCAGCACGATGCGTCCTTCCGTGCCCCAAGGAGGGTGTGTTGTGAACACCCCACTCCAGGAGCAGGCGTTCTCCTCGGTAACCCTGCATGTGCATCCCTGTCTCTTAGGGACTCAGAACACAGCAGTGAACACCTGACTGTGTCACGGAGCCCTCGAGGGGGGGGCCACTGTGCATGGTCCTCATGGCCATGACTGTTGTCCTCAAGTAAATCCATGACAACACCTGGGGACGTGCCTCAGAGGTAGTGAAGTCCTTCCAAATGTGTCCACGGGACCCAAACCTTCAGGAGTTCCTGTAATTTTTTTTTTTAATTTTTTTTATTTTTTGACAGGCAGAGTGGACAGTGAGAGAGACAGACAGAGAGAAAGGTCTTCCTTTGCCGTTGGTTCACCCTCCAATGGCCACCGCGGCCAGCACGCTGCGGCCGGCGCACTGCGCCAATCTGATGGCAGGAGCCAGGTGCTTCTCCTGGTCTCCCATGGGGTGCAGGGCACAAGCACTTGGGCCATCCTCCACTGCACTCCCTGGCCTCAGCAGAGAGCTGGCCTGGAAGAGGGGCAACCGGGACAGAATCCGGCGCCCCGACCGGGACTAGAACCCGGTGTGCCAGTGCCGCAAGGCAGAGGATTAGCCTACTGAGCTGCGGCGCCGGCCACGAGTTCCTGTATTGCCATCGGTCTGAGGGCAGTGCTGACTGCGGGAGGACTGAGTGTGTGTCAGGTCTGAGGGCAGTGCTGACTGCGGGAGGACTGAGTGAGTGTTAGCTCTGAGGGCAGTGCTGACCAAGGGAGGACTGAGTGAGTGTTAGGTCTGAGGGCAGTGCTGACTGAGGGAGGACTGAGTGCGTGTTAGGTCTGAGGGCAGTGCTGACTGAGGGAGGACTGAGTGTGTGTTAGGTCTGAGGGCAGTGCTGACCAAGGGAGGACTGAGTGTGTGTTAGGTCTGAGGGCAGTGCTGACTGAGGGAGGACTGAGTGCGTGTTAGCTCTGAGGGCAGTGCTGACTGAGGGAGGACTGAGTGTGTGTTAGGTCTGAGGGCAGTGCTGACCAAGGGAGGACTGAGTGTGTGTTAGGTCTGAGGGCAGTGCTGACTGAGGGAGGACTGAGTGCGTGTTAGCTCTGAGGGCAGTGCTGACTGAGGGAGGACTGAGTGTGTGTTAGGTCTGAGGGCAGTGCTGACTGAGGGAGGACTGAGTGCGTGTTAGGTCTGAGGGCGGTGCTGACCGAGGGAGGACTGAGTGTGTGTTAGGGCTGAGGGCAGTGCTGACCAAGGGAGGACTGAGTACGTGTTAGGTCTGAGGGCAGTGCTGACTGAGGGAGGACTGAGTGAGTGTTATGTCTGAGGGCAGTGCTGACTGAGGGAGGACTGAGTGCGTGTTAGCTCTGAGGGCAGTGCTGACTGAGGGAGGACTGAGTGCAGGTCAGGTCTGAGGGCAGTGCTGACTGAGGGAGGACTGAGTGCGTGTTAGCTCTGAGGGCAGTGCTGACTGAGGGAGGACTGAGTGCATGTTAGGTCTGAGGGCAGTGCTGACTGAGGGAGGACTGAGTGCATGTTAGGGCTGAGGGCAGTGCTGACCAAGGGAGGACTGAGTGCGTGTTAGGACTGAGGGCAGTGCTGACCAAGGGAGGACTGAGTGCGTGTTAGGTCTGATGGCAGTGCTGACTGCAGGAGGACTGAGTGTGTGTTAGGTCTGAGGGCAGTGCTGACTGCGGGAGGACTGAGTGCATGTTAGGGCTGAGGGCAGTGCTGACCAAGGGAGGACTGAGTGCGTGTTATGTCTGAGGGCAGTGCTGACCGAGGGAGGACTGAGTGTGTGTTAGGTCTGAGGGCAGTGCTGACTGCGGGAGGACTGAGTGCGTGTTAGCTCTGATGGCAGTGCTGACTGAGGGAGGACTGAGTGAGTGTTATGTCTGAGGGCAGTGCTGACTGAGGGAGGACTGAGTGCATGTTAGGGCTGAGGGCAGTGCTGACTAAGGGAGGACTGAGTGCGTGTTAGCTCTGAGGGCAGTGCTGACTGAGGGAGGACTGAGTGCAGGTCAGGTCTGAGGGCAGTGCTGACTGAGGGAGGACTGAGTGCGTGTTAGCTCTGAGGGCAGTGCTGACTGAGGGAGGACTGAGTGCATGTTAGGGCTGAGGGCAGTGCTGACCAAGGGAGGACTGAGTGCGTGTTATGTCTGAGGGCAGTGCTGACCGAGGGAGGACTGAGTGTGTGTTAGGTCTGAGGGCAGTGCTGACCAAGGGAGGACTGAATGAGTGTTAGCTCTGAGGGCAGTGCTGACTGAGGGACGACTGAGTGAGTGTTATGTCTGAGGGCAGTGCTGACTGAGGGAGGACTGAGTGCATGTTAGGGCTGAGGGCAGTGCTGACTGTGGGAGGACTGAGTGCATGTTAGGGCTGAGCAGTGCTGACCAAGGGAGGACTGAGTGCGTGTTAGGTCTGAGGGCAGTGCTGACCGAGGGAGGACTGAGTGTGTGTTAGGGCTGAGGGCAGTGCTGACTGAGGGAGGACTGAGTGTGTGTTAGGGCTGAGCAGTGCTGACTGCGGGAGGACTGAGTGTGTGTTAGCTCTGAGGGCAGTGCTGACCAAGGGAGGACTGAGTGCGTGTTAGGTCTGAGGGCAGTGCTGACCGAGGGAGGACTGAGTGCGTGTTAGGGCTGAGCAGTGCTGACTGTGGGAGGACTGAGTGCGTGTTGGGGCTGAAGGACTCCTGTTGGTCGTTTTTGATCGTACTTCTGGAATAAGGATGACCTGCAAGGCTGCTGCTTCTCACATAAATCAGTGGAGTTCTGAGATCCTGTCTCGGAGTAGGTGCACATTTTGTCCGAGCAGGCAGCAGCCTCGGGTTCTTGGCTTAGGATACTGGCTTCATTATAATTTTGCGGGGCACTGGAGAGCTATAAACCCCAAGCTTAGAATTTTCACATAAAGCGAGTAGGATTGGAAGTAGTAACCGCAGGTAACCCCACACCCTGTACCTTCTGTTGCACACCCACAAGACCTGCTGATACTGCCAAAAGCTACCTTACTGTCCACACCATCTCTCCACCGGGTGGGAAAGCATTTCGATGGCTACTGGATGACAAAGGACAGCTTTGTGGGGCGAGGGATGGCACCTAGAACACCTGCAACCTGTGACCTTTGTAGTTAAGTCTACATCTGTCTGACTTGGCTTTCAGCTCTGGTGGACAAAGGCCATGACGTGGTTGTGTGTGTGTGTGTGTTGAACAGGTTCCTAGGAGTCAAGTTCAAATCTGTGACCTTTAAAGATTCGGTTTTTAAGTCCTGTACCTTTGAGGATGTGACTTCTGTCAACACCTACTTCAAGAACTGCACCTTCATCGACACCGTGTTCGACCACACAGGTAGGTGAATGTGGTAACCACATGGCAGCACAGGCAGCGCATGTGGAAAGCAGACCCAAGTTCCCTAAATCAGCTGGGACAGACACAAGCTGTGTTGTTTGTCTTGTCAGATTTAATGCAGTACAACTTGCTGAAGTTCAAAATTAGCCAAAGCAAGAAGGGCCTTTATTGGCTGTTTCTGGAGCAGAGCGAGCCTCTGGTTGGTTTGCTGTGGTGACCCTGACTTCATACGCTGGTGTGTAGCCTGGTCATTAACTAGATCTGAAAACTCCTCTAGGAAATAAAGGAGACAAGCATTGAGCACCTGCTGTGTGCTGTTGCCTACTGGGCTCATCAGACATACATTGTTCCGCTCAGTTTTCATGGTGGCTGAGGCTACACTCGTGGACGTGGTGACAGATGACATGACGTCAGAGCCAGGCCTTCACAGCCCACCCCCCGGTGCTGGGAAAGAGTCCAGAGTTGCAACCTGGCCCGGCCAGAGGGCCAGCATCTGCTGCCAGCTCTCTGCAGGGTGCCCTGCCCAGCTCCAGCAAGAACCCGGTCAGGAAGGAAGGTGACGTGTCACTCTCACAGACTGGCTCTCTGAATCTCTCCTAGCAGAGCCTGCCACCCCTGCAGACATGCTGGGACAGCGCCAGGTTCAAGGACAAGTCAGCCGTCAGTGCTGGTGACCCTCAGCTGCAGCCTCCCTGGCCCTTAGAGACCCAGAGAAGGCCCTGTCCCTTCCCTGAGCCTGAGACAACAGAGGGCAGTGATGAGGCCAACTCACCCACATTTGAAGCGAGGTGTGTCTGTGACTGTAGCGTGGAAGCTGTTAGTTCTCTGGTGACGGTCCTTACATAGCATGGTCATCAGGACAGTGACCCTGTAAGGGAATGGTCAGCAACGGCCAACTACAGCGATCAGAAGTCAGCTTGATTATATCTTAGTTTACTCCTTTGTGCAACGTAAGTTCCCTTCATGCGGCTGCCTTGTAGTGCGAGGTCCTGGACTGGACTCTGCCTTGGCCAGGAGAAGGCACGGGAAGTGAAGCCAGCCCAGGCATGAAGCCCCCAAGGGTTCGCAGTCCCGATCCCTGCCGAGTGCTCGTGCCGACGTTTGCCTGCCGGCCCTCGGGAGCTGATGGTTCCTGCTGCTGTTTCTGCAGACTTTGAGCCATACAAGTTCATCAACAGCGAGTTTCAGAACTGCTCCTTTTCCCACAACAAGACGGGGTGCCAGATCACCTTCGACGATGACTACAGTGCCTACTGGATCTACTTTGTCAACTTCCTGGGGACGCTGGCCGTGCTGCCGGGGAACATCGTCTCCGCTCTGCTGATGGACAGAATCGGGCGCTTGACGATGCTGGGTAAGCGCTCAGCTCCCTGGGCGGGGCAGCTGCTGCTGCCTGCTCTGCCCCCTGCCCGGAGGGACGTGGCTCAGACCTCTGTTAGCACAGAGCTGCAGGCAGAGTGGGGGCTGATCACATCGCACTTGAGCGGTGTCCATGGGCTGACGCAGAAGTGATTGTGACTTTCCCACTGAAGTAGCTGAGCGACAGGTGATGTGCGTTTCGTACGTGCCATCCCTGCAGCTGGCCGCCCTGTGCTGGAGCTTTCTGGAGCCCACTTCACAAAGCCCCCCGACCCTCACCCTCCTGCCTCGCCCGGCTGGCTCAGGCCCTGCAGTCCTCGTCTGGTCCTTGGCAGGTGGCTCCATGGTGCTGTCGGGCATCAGCTGCTTCTTCCTGTGGTTCGGCACCAGCGAGTCCATGATGATTGGCATGCTGTGTCTGTACAATGGGCTGACCATCTCCGCCTGGAACTCGCTGGACGTGGTCACTGTGGAGCTGTACCCCACAGACCGCAGGTATGTTGTAGGGCCCCAGGCGACCTGCTGAAAAATCACAAAAATAAGCTGGACTGCTGCCAGATGGCCACTTCCAAGAGAGTGCAAAACCCAAAGTTCTCTGTGCCACGAGACTCGCAGCGCCACCCGTGTGTCTACAGAGAAGACGTGGGTGGGGACCGTAGTTCCTAGAGGAGTGAACACGGCACTGAGACCAGCTCAGGAGCTCACTGTATCCGTGGCTTGGTTTGTGAGCTGACAATCTGGGAAGCCACAGCAAGGTGGGGAAGGTGAGCATGTGATTGGGGTTAGTGGGGATTAGGATGTGACTGGGGTTGGGGTGTAATGTGAGTCAGGATGTGACTGGGGTTGGGGTGTAATGTGAGGGTGTGATGGGTTGGGGTGTAATGTGAGTTAGGGTATGACTGGGGTTGGGTTGTAATATGGGTTAGGGTGTGACTGGGGTTGGAGTGTAATGTGAGTCAGGGTGTGACTGGGTTGGGGTGTAATGTGGGTTAGGGTATGATGGGTTAGGGTATAATGTAGATTAAGGTGTGACTGTGGTTGAGGTGTAAAGTGGATAAGGGTATGACAGGTTAGAGTGTAATGTGGGTTAGGATGTGACTAGGATTGGAGTGTAATGTGGGGTCAAGGTATGACTGGGGTTGGAGTGTAATGTTGGTTAGTGTGTGACTGGGGTTGGGGTGTAATGTGGGTCAGGGTTTGACTTGGTTGGAGTATAATGTGGGTTAGGGTGTGAATGGGTTGGGGTGTAATGTGGGTCAGGGTTTGACTGGGTTGGAGTGTAATGTGGGTTAGGGTGTGACTAGGATTGGAGTGTAATGTGGGGTCAAGGTATGACTGGGGTTGGAGTGTAATGTTGGTTGGCGTGTGACTGGGGTTGGGGTGTAATGTGGGTCAGGGTTTGACTGGGTTGGAGTATAATGTGGGTTAGGGTGTGAATGGGTTGGGTGTAATGTGAGTCAGGGTTTGACTGGGTTGGGGTGTAATGTGGGTTAGGGTGTGAATGGGTTGGGGTGTATTGTGGTTAGGGTGTGACTGAGGTTAGGGTGTAATGAAGGTCTGGGGTGTAACGAATTGGGTGAGCATGACATTAGGTGCAATGGGAGTTCACGTGTTGTAACCCCTCTGGGCTCAGGTTAGTGCTCACACGGCTGCCGGGGAACTCCCTCCCAGTTTGCAGGGCCCACGTGAGCCCTGCCTTAAGCAAGCACAGGGAGGTCTCTGGGACGAACCTCAGCCGTCCTTCTTGCGTGGAAGAAAAACCACCCTGCGGTCTAGAGGTGGAGATGCAGACCGCCCCGCGTGTCAGGACCTGGCTGGACGCAGGCCTTGGGGAGGAGCCCAGCCCTGAGCCAGTCACTTAGAGAGAGAGAAGCCCTGTCTTGCTCCGAGCCTGGAGACCTGCACCGTACCATACTGTGTGCAGCCCCTCATTGCTGGGTGAGGAAGCAGCGACCCCAGGGCCTGGCCGGGGCAGTGAGACCCCGCCCTTGGCTCGCTGACACAGCAGTGCTTCCCGGGCGGGAGCAGGCCCTGGCTGTGTTGCTCAGAGCTTGCAGGTGCTCCTGCACCCATCCCCTGCCAAGCACCTGCAGCCTGGGGTGCTGGGCACATCCACCACACTCTCGTGGTGCTCCTCTCGGGCCCTTGGTCTGAGGATGCTCTGAGGGCTCTTGGGGGTTTCTCCTCTCGGGCCCTTGGTCTGAGGATGCTCTGAGGGTTCTTGGGGGTTTCTCCTCCCTTGCTCACATCGCATCCTTGCTTCAGGGGCCCCGGGGTGAGGGGCCGCCTGCTGCAGGATTCAGACCCTGCAGTGCCATGGCTCCTTCGTTGGCCTCCGATCTGCTCACAGGCCCTCCCAGCAGTGGGCCCATCTGTGCATTTAGCTGCCTTGGCAGGTTAGAGCAGGTTCAATCTTAAAAAAAAAAAAAAAAAAAAAAAAAAAAAAAAAAAAAAAAGACAAGCAGAAAGTGGAATCACATATATCCCCTGACTGATCAGCATTTACATGATTGGAAAACACGAAAGAGAATCCAGAAAATTTTTTAAAGATTTATTGATTTATTTGTGAGGTGGAGTTACAGAGAGAGAGAGGTAGAGACAGAGAGAGAGAGGCCTTCCATCCACTGGTTCACTCCCCAGATGGCCACAATGGCTGGAGCTGGGCCGATCTGAAGCCAGGAGCTTCTTCTGGGGCTCCCACGTGGGTGCAGGGCCATCTTCCACTGCTTTCCCAGGCCATAGCAGAGAGCTGGATCCGAAGAGGAGCAGCCGGGACTAGAACCAGCGCCCCTATGGGATGCCAGAGCTACAGGCAGGGGCTTAGCCTACCACACCACAGCACGGCCCCAAGAATCCAGAAATTAAACCTTGTTAGAGGGTGGAGCGGCATTTCCTACTTTGGTCTCCTACAGTTTGCAACAGAACAAATCCGAATCAAACTGGAGCAAACCAGCACCAGAGCGGAAGTCAGATGCCTGGTCAGACAGCAGTTTCTCTGTCCCAGGGCCCGGCACTCCCTCGGAGCTCCTGAGAACCCCAGTTCTGGGCCTCTGGGCCAGCTCCAAAGCCACAGCCTGTTGGGGCCGGGGGCCTAGGCTGCATCTGCCTGCATCGCCCCCTTTGGAAAGCCCCCAGCTGCCGACACAGCCAGGCTGGAGCACCACAGGGCGAGAACGCGGTCACACAAGGGGCCTCCGGAAAGTGCATGGACAGCGGGGTCTCCCGTGTGAACGGCAGGGGCCCAAGCACGTGGGCCATCCGCTGCTGCCTTCCAGGAGCATTGGCAGGGAGCTGGATCAGCAGTGGAGCAGCCGGCACTCAAAGCTGGGGTGCCGGTGTTCTAGACGGCAGATAACCGCTGGGCCACGGTGCCAGCCCCAAGATCTTGCTCCCTAAAAGTTCGTTCTTTTTCCGGCCGTGATAAACCGGAAGCTTTGCGTGGAGCCTAAATCGGGGGCGGGGGGGGGGGGCAGAGGCTGAGGGCAGCGCGGCAGCCTGGCCTCCTGCCTGGCTTTCCTGGCAGCTGTTGCTGTTCGCCGTGCTGACACCCGAGCAGGAAGGCCATGGAAAATGCAACCAGAAGACGGGTTTTCCTGGGTGCTGAAGATGTTGGAGACCCAAACCATCAGTGGCAGCTGTCGTGAAAGCCCGTGCATGTGCAGCAAGACTACGCATGGGTCAGTGGCCGCGGCCGTGCCGATGCCCCCTAAGCCTCGTCCGTGTCTCTTGCAGGGCGACGGGCTTCGGCTTCCTGAACGCGCTCTGCAAGGCGGCGGCCGTGCTGGGGAACCTGATCTTCGGCTCCCTGGTGGGCATCACCAAGGCCCTCCCCATCCTGCTGGCCTCCACCGTGCTGGTGTGCGGGGGGCTCGTGGGGCTGCGCCTGCCGGACACACGGACCCAGGTCCTGATGTGAGGGAGTCCGACGCGACGCCGCTGCGACCGGAAGCCTCGCTGCATCTCCTGCTGCCCCTCCGTGTGACCACACAGGTGTCCCCGCCCTCCTCTCCTCCCAAACACCAGGGCCGCTCGCTGAGGGGCCCTGGCCAGTCCAGCTGCAGACGCGGTCGAGCTGGCCCGGGGCAGCCACTTGCTGCGCGTCTGTGCTGAGAGGGCGTCCCCAGCAGAGGGACATTTCCTGTTTTCTGAGGGGACAGCCCGCAGTTCTCGCTGTGACAGCACGTGGGCGCAGCTGCGGCTGGGCAGGGCTCTTTGGGGCGAGCTGGTTCGAGTGATGGAAGGTCAGGCTGTGCCCTCAGCTGGAATCTGCGGGAGCTGCATCTGCAGAGGGTGTGGCCTGTCCCAGGAAGTTTGAGAAGTGTGAGGCGTCCAGGGCCGGGACCTGTGGTACAGACAGCTGGGAATGAGGTCAGCCGGAGAGCCCTGCCTCGATTTCCCCTCACCACAGACGGCAGTCAGGGTAGGGCGTCTCTTCACCGAGCTGTGTGCCCCTCCCGGAAGCCTGGGTCCCCAGGCCAGCTCTGGGCTGGGGGCTGCGGCAGATGGACGAGGCTCCCACCAGAGCCGTGTGGGAAGAGGGGCAGCCCTGGCCCCCGCCCCACCCTGCTTTGGTGACAGTCGCCGGTGGCCTCCCAGGCACATCCTGTCCCTCCAGCTCCCCTGGGCTGGTGCCCCATCCCTCTGCAGCCATAGGGCCTGCCTCCTGGGGCGCACAGGGACAGGGACAGCATCTGCTCGGCCCCCAGCTGCTCCACCTACCTCTGGAGTCTGCGTGGACCGTGTGACCTGCTGCTGCCCGAGCCGGTCTGCATCAACCTTTGAGTTTGAAGCTCCCTCTGCCACTTCCAGGATGAGCAGCAGCTGGGGGGGGGGGGGGGGGCAGGGGGCCTGTTTACACCTGAGTCCTCTCCAGGCCTTTGGAGGTGACCCTTGCTGTAGTGTGGCTCCGGTACAGCCCCGGCCTCTGCCTCCGCTCAGTCCCAGAGGCCCCGCCCCCCCTCCAGGCCTGCAGGTGCCCAGACCCCTGAGAAGCCACCAGTCTCCTCCCCCAGCCCCCCCCACCCAGTGCAGGCCTGGAGGGGAGGGGGGAGGGGGAGGCTCCCTGGGCAGAGCATCAGGAAACTGAAACCAGGAACAGGGAAGACAACAGGAAGCCGGAACCCCCGTCGGGCCGGGACGGAGCTACCAAGAGCGAAGGGCAGGTCAGGAAGCCGAGGTTGCCGTCCCCCACCGCCCAGGACTGCCGACAGAGTCAGCCCCCGGTCTGCCGTCTGAGCTGAGTGCAGACAACCAGATAGGCGCCTGGGCCCCTGCCCCGTCTTCGGAGGTGCTCAGCCCTGCCTTCTCCCACGGGGTCTCCCGAGCCACAGGGCACGGCTGCTCAGAGCTGCGTCCTTGTGATGGGCCGTGTCAGCGGAAGCCTGCTTCCCGAGGCTGGCCTTGCTGCCCAGCCCGAGCCCGGGCGCCCAGGAAGGGGCTCCGGGCAGTCCGACACAGCTTGTCTAGGCCGCCTTTCCGCTGCCCTCCTCGCGTCATTCTCCACCTCGGCTGTCCGAGCACCCGGGGTTTTCCGAGCGCACGGTGCCCGGCTCGCTGTGGGTTTAGCAGGAGATTGTGCTTTGGCCGTGTGGTCAGACAGCAGGTGTTCCCACGTGTGCCAGCGGCTGGCCCCCCAGCACCCCTGCGATGGGAGGAGAACCAGAGGCTGTGCACAGATGCACCACTAGGGGGCAGCCGCACGCACTTGTCTGTGCTGCTGGTGAGAACCAGAGTGCTCCCTAGACCCCTGAAGGTCCCCAGGGTAGGGAGATGGCAGCCGGGGTCCTGCAGCACCCAGCTTATCTGTGGTGCTGCTTCCTGGGTGACCTCACACCCAGGGTCCTGATGGGGAGACGAGATGGAGGGGTTCTGGGCCAAGCTCCACCCCTGAGCCCGGTGCAGCCCATGCACTGGGAGTAGGAAATGGCTGCATGGCTGTGGTCCTTGGCTTCCCCATCTGTACAGGGAGGCTGGGACCCCCGCAGAGTGCCATGATGGCAGCTGTGTCTGCTGATGGCACTGGGGCTAGACCCTCACGGACAAGCCCCCGCGGGGCTGGTGTGCAACCAAAGCACTGGGGAGTGCTCAGAAGCCCCGGGACTTCCTGGGGAGGTGGTCCCCACGTTGTCTGCTGCCAGCTCCCCAGGAACCTGAGCTCCGTCTCATGTTGGCACCGGCTCCACAGCTCCCCCTGCCTGTCTAGGAAAGGCACCCATGTTCCGATCACGGCCCTGGCACAGAGACCGCTTCAGGCCTCATCTTCCTGAATCCAGCATCACCCAGGCCCCAGCCATCAGAACCGAGTCCTCGGTGGCCCCGTGCACCTGGGCAGGATCCCTTCATTCACAGATCTCACCGAGTCAGACTTGGGGCTCGCACGGGCGTTTCCGTGGCTGGTCAGCAGAGATGGGGGCGGTGGAGAGCGGGAAGAGAAGCCCTGGGAAGTTCGCAGAGAGGGGTCAGCGCCGTGCGCCCCCCCCCCCAACCCGGCCGTCACACCCAGAGTGCAGGGCGGGGCCCTTTGTGATCCCCTCTGCCGCCAAAACAGAAGGCAGTGTTCCTGCTCCTAGTCCAGTGCCTGCCTGGCCGGGCACTGCGGCTCCGAGAACAGTGAGGCCACATGCCAGGCAGCTGGGGGAGTGCACGCTCAGGGTTCTGGTGGGGGCCGCGTGCCCCCCAGTGAGGATGAGCTCGGAGCAGAGCTGCCCTGTGCTCTGTGGGATGTAGGCAGCAGGTCTGTGCCTCCTGTTTGGCGGGTGTGCAGTGGTGTCCTGAGGAGTGTTCTGTCCCCACGGTGCCCCTCGGGGCTGAGCCAGGGAGCAGGCGGAGCCAGGAGGCCCCCTCCGGAGCACAGCCAGCTCCCTCCTGACGCTGAGGGTTTGTGACGGAGCGAAACTGCCTTTGCGGGCCCCGTGCTCCGTGCTGGCCTTCCACCCTGCAGGAGAAGTGAGCTGGAAAACAGGGCCTGGCGGGCACGGCAGGGGTGCCGTCAGCTCTCGGCTGAGCTGTGCGTGGTTCGGACAGGGTGTCTGGAAGGAGCCCAGGACCCATGGGGCTCTGGGTCCATGGGAAGGCAGAGCACTCCTGCCCCCTCCAACACACACACCTCCTCCAGGCAGTCCACCGCCACTGCTCTCCCTTCTCTTCCTGATCTTGTCACCCCCTGACAAGTGAGACAGAGCCTCACTGGGCCCTTGACCCCAGAGAACTGCAGATGGTGCCCACGGTGAGGGTGGGAGCTGAGGGGCCCAGAGCTGACTGCTGGTAGCCAAGGAGTCCCCAGCCAAATTCAGAATTCAGGACGCCACCATCCGGGTCTGCAGAGGGCCCTGCCCGGTGCTGGAGGCACAACCGTGTGCCACACACATGCTCCCTGCAGAGCGGGAGTGCCCAGGACCCAGAGGGAGGTGGCATGTGCCCTCTGTTCACACGTGGGGCCTCCAGCAGGCCAGCGGCACGCCTGGTGCAGGTGTGCCGAGTCCCCGGCCGCCTGGCGGTGACGGTGGGGGGGCAGGGGTCCCCTGAGGCCAGTGGTGGCTGGACCAGGCACCACGGGGCTCCTCAGATCAGTTGGTGATGATGGGAATTTTGAGAGCCAGTTGAAAATCATAGCCATTGTTAAAATTCAGTATAAATTTATATTTAGATTTTATTTATGTACTGAGAGAAAAAGCTAATATATATGCAGCACGCTGCTCGCTACCGATTTTGCCGCCTTCTGCTGTGACGCAGCCTTTGAGGTCCTCTGGCAGTGGGCATGGCAGCCGCGGCGTCTGTGCACGTGCCGGCACCAGGAGTCCACGCGGGCTGCAGGGCAGGCGCTGGCGTGGGGTCGGCCTGGCCTGAGGGCCGAGGGCCCCACTGTGTGCGAGCCGTTCCTGCAGAACACGCAGGCGTGCTGGGAGCTACACAGCGGCTCCCCTCCCACGCCCAGGTGGGAAACCCTTCTTGCGCCCACTCTCCTCGCCCTGCAGCTTGGCTGCCGCTGGCCCCGTGTCCACGTCCGACCTCAGCTCAGAATGAAGGTGCTCACTGGGCGCTGGCTCCGTGCACGTCTGCTGGGGTTTGCATGCTGCCACTCGGGGCCCAGAAGAGCCTCTCTTCTCCGGAAGCTTCCGTGGGGCCCAGGCTAACCTCAGCCGCTCTCCCTGGTGTCGAGATCTTGGAAGGCCGTGTCCTTGGCCCTGGTGTTTGGGTGTCCTCCTCTGTTTTCCCGTTTCCGATGCTCTGTGAGTGTTCCTGTCTGGTGTGTCCCGGTGCCCCGTGTCCGTGTGCTGCATGTGTGAACCCCAGTACATCCTGCGTCTGGGGCTTTCTCCCTGTGTCCAGCCGGCCCTGTTGTGAGCTCATCTTCCCAGGACGCCCTCCGTGTCTGATTCCCGATTGCCACAGTGTCTGTCCACACGCGAGTTCCCGCACACCCGAGCCCACTGTGCAGTGCGTGTCTCCCGTGTGGAAGTGTGTCCAGTCGTGTGCCAGGTGACACATGCGTGTATCCGCTGCAGAGATGTTCCATGTACGTCAGATTAATAAATGAGCGGTTTTAGCTCCATTCTACTCCAACGGAGATCACTGTGTGGCTGCTCTTCCAAGCACGGCCCAGCCTTCAGGGTCCCTGGGTGCGGGGGGGCCGGGGCCAGGCTGCTGCGCTGGCTGGTTGCACGCACGTTTTCCAGTGCTGGTGGGGGACGGAATAGGCGCTTGTGTGTCTGCCCTGGAGCGGGGGTCTGGAGAGAGCAGGCGGGCGTGGGCGTGTCCCGTGGCTGCCCTGCTGAAGGCAGAGGCATGGGCCACACCACCCCTGCCCTCGTCCCCGCGAGAACACTGTCCCTGCATTTCACGCGAGACCCAGGTGTCGTCTAACACGGGTGGGGCTGGCCGAGCGCCGGAGACCCAGCCCCCTTTGCTCACTGTGGTTCCCTGGGGGGCACAGGTGGCCACTGCCACTCCTATTTTCACACAAAATCGGGGCCAGGAAAGGCGCCGTTCCTTCCTTGTGACGTTCACACAGGAGGTGGAGCAGGGGTTTGCCACAGGGACTACGGCACCGATTAGGACACCCACACCCAGGTGGGAGTGCCTGGGCTGGGTTCCTGGCCCCGCTCCCCAGTCGTGCTCCCTGCCAGGACACACCTGGAGGCAGCAGACTGTGGCCCGAGGACTTGGACCCAGGTGTAGGGCTGGGCTTCTGAGTCCGGCCAGGCTCAGCCCCAGCTGTCGTGGGCGTGTGGGGGTGAGCCAGCAGATGGGAGGTGTCTGTGTGTGTGCGTGTGGCTCTGCCTCTCGGGTAGTGAAGGTGACTTTAAGACTCAAGGAGCGGGCCGGCGCCGCGGCTCACTAGGCTAATCCTCTGCCTAGCGGCGCCGGCACACCCGGTTCTAGTCCCGGTTGGGGCGCCGGATTCTGTCCCGGTTGCCCCTCTTCCAGGCCAGCTCTCTGCTGTGGCCCGGGAGTGCAGTGGAGGATGGCCCAGGTGCTTGGGCCCTGCACCCCATGGGAGACCAGGAAAAGCACCTGGCTCCTGGCTCCTGCCATCGGATCAGCGCGCCGGCCGCGGCGGCCATTAGAGGGTGAACCAACGGCAAAGGAAGACCTTTCTCTCTGTCTCTCTCTCTCACTGTCCACTCTGCCTGTCACAAAATAAAAAATAAAAAAAAATAAAAAAAGACTCAAGGAGCGGTGCTCAGAATCCCCACGCCCCTCTTGGGGGATGTGCACCCTCTGCCCCTCAGACGGCCACAAGCAAGAGGCTGCCCCTGCCGCCTGCCTTGCCCGGGTCAGTCTCCCCTCCCCGCAGCCCAGCGTCCTGGCAGCACCTGGCTTCTGACTTGGGAGCAGAGCTGTCAGCTGCTCCACCCCTCGCTGGGCCTGAGGAAGGCGGGGCTCACCCCACCCCCTCAGAGCCTCCCAGACACCTGCTGCTGGGGCCCAGGACTGGTGGGCTGTGGCGGGGCCGGGAGGTCCTCTGGGAGAGAGCTGCAGAGGTGTCGGCAGAGGGGAGGGCCGCGGACCCAGAGATCCCAGGTGCCCACGAATCACAACAGCAACCAGGGAAGAGGCACAGTGCGTCCTACTGGTCAACCGCCCCGCGCTGCTCCCCCACCACCTCTGCTCGTGTCGTTGCCGATGGAGGAGCAGAAAGATGAACGTTCGAGTGTGTCTCCCGCATGGCGTCACACACTGCAGCAGGGCCGACGGCTCGGGGAGGCCGTTCCTGCAGCCTCAGCAGTGGTTTTGAGCCACATGAAGACGCCCCATGGGCGGGGTCGGCCATGTGCCCCGCGCGTGGCCTGGCTGTCCCTCCCCGTGGTGGCCAGTTCCTCCAGCCTCGGGAGTCAGGAAGGGAACAAGCTGTGGATGCTGCCGTCTGGTGGTGCCAGCCTCTCAGAAGCACACGCCCTCCCCATGCACCTGCTGGAGGGTGCCCCGCCCTCAGAGGGGACCCCGCGGGGGCGGGAGGAAGCACCTCCCTCCCGCAGTTAGAATCCTGAACACCTGCTACCCTGCGGGTGTTGAGGAAGTGAGAACTGGGCCTCCCCGTGCTGGCTTCCGAGGTGGCTGCCCGGAAGCGGTGACAGTTGGTCTTTCTCTGGGGCTTGTGAGGACAGAGTGTCTTAGCTTAGTGAGTGCTGCACACGCAAGCTCTCGGAACCTGTGGGAACCAGTGGGAACCGGTGGCCGCGGGAATGCTCCTTCCCTGCAGTACCTTGCAGTACCAGGAGGCTGAGAGCCTGCCCCTGCAGTGCTCAGATGGGCATGGGAGTGGATGTGGGGATGGTGGGGGCATGGGTGGGAGCTGTCGGCAGGTGCCTGTGCCTGTGGTACCCTGGCAGCCCGGCCAAGTCACCTGCCCACATCCCCACACCCCAGGAGCAGCCGGCTCCGTGCCTTGCCCCAGCACTCGGATGCCCAGCTCCACAGTGGCCTGTGGTGGCCAGGAAGAGGGGGAGGGGTGGAGGGAGACAGGACCTTGCACATAGCGGGGCCTGACCCAGGCGGCCGTGGGTTCTGCGTGCACAGTGTGGGCCCAGGTGGAAGCCCCGCCCCATGGGGGCTGCTGCCCCTGCTGCAGGAGGCGTTGCCTGTGTCCCTCGGGTCAGGGGCGCTCCCCAGGGGGAAAGTCCAGGGCCTCAGGTTTTCCCAGGCACAGCCGTGGTGGATGGCGCGTGGCCAGAGTCCTGCTGCCTGGGCGTGCAGAGAAAGGCTGGCGGGGCTGTTCCAGCAGACGGAGAACACAGCTGTGGCGGGGGCCACCAGTAGCTCACAGCGGGTGGCACGTGGCGGTGGGCCATGGCCACGCACAAACAGGCGCTCCTGAGCGCCACGGCCAGCACCACGCCAGGTGCAGGGGCACACTCTGGAGCCCCAGACCTGAGCTGCGTGGCCCAGGGCGAGTTCACGAACCTGAGATTGCTCAGCTGGACGAGAGGCCTGTGCCCAGCGTGCTCCCCTGCTGTGCAGGTTTGCGTGTGCAGTGTGGCGGACGCCAGAGACACAAGGGTGCTGGCTTCCGATGTGCCGGCGGCCCTGACTCGATGGAAGCAAAGTTATGAACGTTTCTGTTTCACTCTGGATCACGGGAGATAACCCTTTGTCCCCCAGGGTCCCAGCAGCCTCCTTGCCCGGGGGCTTGCTTGGTTTGCATCTCACGTTTGGAAATCCACTGCTGTGTGTCCAGAACTCCCCGGGAGCACCAAGAACACCGTGGGGAGAGGCAAACGCTGCACTGGGTTCACCACAAGGGGCGCTGTGGAGCACACAGCGGCCACAGAGGACCGGGCTGCTCGGGCCGGCACGGAGGCTCACGGTGTGGCACTTAGCTCCGTGTCCAGTGTGGTCAGCAGTGTTCCTTGAAGTGACCTGCAGGCCCGCGCATGTGGAGCCTGGGTGGAACCCATGAATGGCGACTTCAGTCTCGGGGCCGTCCCCAGCAGCAGACATCCCCAAGTGTTAAAGAGACAGTCCCAGTCACCGTGGCCTCATGCGAGCCGCAGGACCACACAGGAAACAGCCAGAGAGCGCGAGGGGTCCCACGGGCACAGGGCGATGGGCCGCTTCCACCGTAGGCTGGAGCCCGGGCCCACCAGGCCAGCCTGCCGGAGGGACCGCCCGCCGAGTGGCCATGGGACCCGGGCTTTGCAGAGGTGTTTCTGTGACTGCTGATGGTGTTGTAACGAATTATGTTTTAGGTACTTTAGCTTGCTTAATTACAAGTGAGCTGTTACAACTTCTCAGGTGCCGGCGGCTTGCCTTGGAATCAGTGGTGGTAAATCATCCATTGCAGCTGACTCGCAGCACGGGGGTCTAGTCTCGGCCTCCTCGCACAGGTGAGGGGCTGGCTCGGGGGACTTAGAGGCTGACCCAGCCGTCCACAGCCCGGGAGTGACCCCAGCAGGACGGCCCCGCCCAGGGGGCTCCCTTCAGCAGGGAGGCAGTGAGAGCAGGTGGGCCGACGTCAGCCCAGGGGGCAGAGCCGGTCCTGCCCTCGCGAGCTTCCCCTGGAGGACTCCAGGTGGGTGGTGCCCTGGAGAGGGAGCACCACACAGCCACGAGAGGCGCCCTGGAGAGGGAGCAGCCACTAGAGGCCGCCGGCGAACCTGCGAAGCCTCGGCCTCCTCAGGTGTCGGCCAAACGCGGTGGAGGGCTTCAAGGGTGCCGGGGCCGCCTTCCGGCATTTTCCACACACCTGCCCCCCCACCCCACCCCGTGTCCTGCCCGCAGCCCCGCCTGGAGCCTCTGTGCTCACAAGGGGAATGAAGCAGGGGTGAGTCGCCCGAGTGGGGTCCCGGGAAGCGGCAGGACCGGCACCCCTGTCCACACGCCCGCCCGCCTCACCCTCGGGGGCACGCGGCACGCGGGGAGGCGGCAGGCGCTGCCCCTGCACGCTTGCTGTCCGTCTCTGCCGGGCCCACCCCAGGGTGAAGCCGGGCGGAAGGGCCCAGTGGTGCCGAGGCGGCAGCGTCTCCTCTGCAGACGGCAGCGGGTGCGAGGACAAAACAGGAGGTGACACGCTCCGAGGCTTCGCGCAGTTCATGTCACTAAGCGTCTGTGCTGTGACTTGGCGCGGCCCTGCTGCTCTGACTCGCAGCATTGCCGGCCGTCCTGCCCCGCGCCGCAGCGAGCCGAGAGCGTGATTCTGCGTCTGCCCTGCCTGCGCCCGGCTCCCGAGCAGTCCCGCCCCAGCCAGGCACGCACAGAAACCCCAGGGTCCCACGTTGACGGCAGCGAGGGCAGAAACAACCCGATTACCGCGCTTGGAGGCGGGCCTGGCGGGGCCTGGGGGCGCCTCGGACGCCTCGCTTACAGCCCTGAGCAGGGCGCGTGCTCTCCCGGGCCTCTGATTTGCGCTCCGCACGCCCAGTCCAGCGCCCTCCCGCCCCACCCACGGCCGGCCCCGCGCAACTGCCCAGCGCCCGCCGTGGGCCTCGGAACCCCGCCTGGGTTAGCAGCTGCCCGTCCCAAGCACCCAGTGGTCCAGCCCTGCAGACCCAGCGGAGAGGGTGAGCTCCTGGCAGGTCCCTAGTGCCCGCTGCGCGGCCGTGGCCAGCGCTGAACTGACGTGA